CCCAAAACCCCAAAACCCCAAAACCCCAAAACCCCAAAACCCCAAAACCCCAGAACAATACTTTGACTTCATAAAATTAGTTTATGATTTAAGAAATCAAAATACATAGCTCTCTTAACATTTCATACTCTAATCATAATTATTTAACCCATAGACGCTTCAGATCAAGCCTTTAGAGCTCATCATTTTGAGCAGTACTCCCAAAAGCCCAATAAATATTAGGCAGAGAGCCATATCAAGACACATTTGTTTGCCATTTTTATACTTTGCAAGAGTCTATTTAAGCTGATTATTATTCTACCTCAACTTATTTTCGTTGTCCTCAGCCTTTTTCCTGGTCTTCTTTAAAAGCTCGTTCTGCCGCTTAATCAAGTCCTCATTATTTTGAGCCTTCATCTTAACCTCGTCTAAAGCATCGACTAGCTCTAAAGCGATATTTTCGAGTTCCTTGTCATTTTCTTCAAATTGCTAAAGAATATCTCTTTCTTCGTCATTAAGATCTCTATCAGATTCTTCTCCTTCTTCATCACTGTCTTATGTTCCCTTATTATTAGCAAAAACATTAATGAAGTCTCCACTTCTTTCACTTGCCATTGAGTTTTACTGAGCCACCTCTTTTCTCATTCTAGTTACTTGCTCTTTAAATTCATCTGAAAGCAGATTCAAATTCCTTCTTAGCAGATCTATATTTTTGGCTCTGTTTTCTAGTTCTTTTTTAGTTATCTACAAATTGAATTAGATAATGAAACAGTACTGTTCTTTTATTCTTTTCCTGATATTTCTTGAATACAACTCTGAGATATGCATGTTCCTCTTCACAAGTAGAGAATAGCTGTTTGATTTACTCATCGAGTTCTTTAAGAGGATTACTTAAGTTAAATTTCATTACCGATTCTTTCCTTTGAATAATAACCATAGAGAGCAATCCTCTCTGTTCTTTCCTTAAGTCGATCTTTACATGTGTTCAGACTATTTTTAATGCTTTGGGACGTGTATTCAAACTCATCAAGATTTCTCTTGTTTTCCGCAGCTGAAAGTATTGTAATTAAATTAAAAAAATTCATAATTACCATCTTCATCAGGCTTTCCTCCCAGAGACAAAATGATGTATTCAACTTTAGACTGTAATGTAGTGATCTTAATTCTTGACATTTCAAAATCAATTATTATTACATTCAGCTTAATAATTTATAATGATTCTTAATACTATGGGGTTTTGGGGTTTTGGGGTTTTGGGG